TCATCTCAACGACAACCCGGTCTCGTCTGGCAAGAAGGAGTCCAAGGCCGACCAGCAGTCTTCCACTGGTTCATCCAAGCAGAACGTCGAGATCGCTCCGTTGATGCCGATGCAGAACGCACGCGGCCTCAGGGATGTTATGTGGTACATCTAAGGAACGAAGAGAGGTCAAGCCGGTCGGTAGTGCTGGATAGGATGGCTTCACTGGTTCGAAACACGATGGAGGACTCGGTTGCAACGATGGCGTGAATCTGTTCACGGCGCATCAAAAGTCGGTGATTCGGTATTCTCTTCAATCTTTCCTTGCGATATCCATATTTCATGGTCCTAGCGAGGACATCTCATGATCTCAGGTAGTATGCCTCGCCCGTCAGCGGCCTCGCAGAATCAATATGGTATGAAATAACTCCTGCTGCTTTGCGACGTTGTGATGTTGCGCATACGTGCTCAGCTTTTCGCGTTTGTTAACATGCCCACGAACTATCGGCCAGATCAGTTTGATACAGTGTCCATCGCCGGAACTGAGTTGAGTGTCTAAGAGAAGACCGTCCATAGGCTCAGCCTAGATTTTACCTTGCTCTTCACGATCCGAAGGCTAAACTACCGCAGGCTCAGACTGCCGGGTGCTTAGCAGAAGTATAGCCACGGCCTTGACAATCCAAAAACGGCGCCTGACCCTGAGGCGAGCTTCCAATCAGCCTAAATAGCTGTTGTATGGATCAAGTGGCCACGAGCCCCGGAGAGTCGATGCGCATGGAGATTTTCGTTTCCTCTCGTTGCGATCGGGTACAAGCTGTCAATTTCACGAGGAAACGCGGCCACGAAGTCGAAGATCGCAGAGCTTGCAACTTTGCGCCGAAGAATGAAGATCGTAGTCGCCGGGGTAGCAAAGAAGAGCGCGCGTATTGTATGGAATGGTAGAAGGATGAGAGTCGGGGTAGGAGTACAAGGAAGCCTGTGATATGTGTTTCCGGGCTTCTGAACAATTGCAGATGCCTAGTTGACAATGGGTCGATCGACACAGACGGATTGCTGCCTGTTCTTATTGCGAAATCGTGTGCGAAGGTTGAGAAGCACTTTGAAGGCAGGCAGGAGACGATAGAGGCACTTCTGGCTTGTTGGACGCGCCGAGCATCACGAAGCGCGACCAGAGGACTTTGCGCTCACGACGACGATAGGACCATTATAAGCCTCCTATCACAGCTTCAGCGGATGCGAAACGACGATGTCAGGGTATTTACATACTCGATCGAGTCCCGATCGCAACATCACATGCAAGCAGAGAGGTATGTACCGTCCAATATATTTACCTTCGCTCCACCAGCGCAAAGCGCAGAAGAGAAGGGGGTAAGCGAACGCATAATCATTCTAACCTCCATTTTCCCCTCCAAATCTTCATTGAGTGGAAGACACAGAGTGAATAATGGGGTGTTCAGTTTTAATGAACAGAAGAGGATCGCGCGACGCGTTGATTTTGATGGCTGCGAAGATTTCGGATGACTAAGGGGCGCTTGCATGGTTGGGGTTAGCAGCGAAGCAGGGGTCATGTGAGCGAATCAAGGCTGGCGCGTTGGGTGTGACGAGTATGGTGGGGCAGGGGATTTTGGGCGGCGGCGCGGGGTTTTGTTGTCGGCCTGTGGGAGTGACTCTTTTGCAATATTGAAGACCAGATTGAAGTTTTGGGCGTACAGGTGAATAAAGACTCTGTAGGCGGCGAACAACGTGGGGTGGGAAGCTAACAACCTGTAGTTTGATAGACCTGCACTCTCACACCCGCCCTTGTGAACGGAGATCCTTACACAAACGCACCTTACCCACTCTCCACTAAAGCTTCCCACGGTTCGGACTACTGCGAGAAGAACTACACACTCAACCGCAACCCCAAACCCCTCGATACCGACAAAGTCCCTCGATAAGCATACGGACTCGACCTGCAAGCAGTCTCGATACCGAACACTTTCCACTTCTCCACAAACAACTCAGACACACAACATGTCTTCAGCAGGACGTGGCCGCGGCGGCAAGTTCAACAAGGTCAAGCGCGGAGGCGGCAAGAAGTTCTCACGCGACCTGCAACCGCTGAACGCAGATGGCGAGGTCGTTGGCATGTGGGGTGTAAGTACCTGATTTACCAAAGTCGCAGAAACTGTCTAACAAATAACCACAGGAACAACCCGACAAGGTTGACGAAGAGTCCTCCGAAGAGGAAGAATCTTCTGAGGAGGAGTCTGGCGACGAGGACGGCAAGCCCGCACAAGAAGAACTGACGCGCGAGCAGCGTCGCGAACTCGCAAAGAAGCGCAAGGCGGCCGCGATCGCGAAGAAGTCACAGAAGACCCCCGAAGCAGGCGACATGCCCACCGACTCCTCCGAAGAGGAAGACGACGATATGCCCGCGAACCCAAACCACACTGCGAAAGCCCGTACACAAGCCGCGAAGGCACCTGTCGACCCAGACGCCGAGCCCGCTGCTGCCGCTGCTAAGGGCAAAGGCAAGCAGCAAGACCTGTCCCAGCTGTCCCGTCGCGAGCGTGAGGCTCTCCAGGCACAAGCCAGCAAAGACCGATACGATAAACTACACGCTGAGGGCAAGACCGAACAGGCTCGTGCCGACCTCGAGCGCTTAAAGCTGGTCCGCGAGCGTAGGGATGCTGAGGCGGCGCGGAAGAAGGCTGAGGCTGAGGAGCGTGCTGAGCTGGAGAAGGAGAAGAAGGAGCTCATGGACCGCGAGAACAGGCGGCGGGAGCAAGCCAAGGGCAAGGCGGACCGTCTTGCTAAGGGCGGCAAGAAGAAGGCCTAAGTCTGACAGTCATTGTCAGGATTGGATCTTTCGCGACGTTACCAGTTACCTCTGCGACGCCCGGATGCCAGTATATGTGTGCGAATGCACTCCGTTCCATGCTCACGGGTTGCGCGGTTCGCGCACGGCGTAGCCACTTCGAGCTACTGGTCGATGCTCATGACGCGATGATAGAATCAAGTACAGGACGGCTGCATGGTGTATACCATGTAGCCTGCTGGATCCAAAGATGAAACAAATGTGATCAAAGTTCACGAGCCATGAACACCATTTTGCTTGCCGTGACCAATGTACCAAGACCGAGAAGATGCACGCCATGTGACCGATACACAATATATTCCACTCAGGTAGCCCTTATGCTGCACGGCCTCTCGAAGTTTCGACAGCGATACGAGTTCGTATGCTGAGCCGTGAGCCCTCAAGCCGCCCTTGTGCTTCCCCGCGAGTTAGTGTCTCGCCTCGCGAACGCGAAGGTTCACGACTTCGTCATCACTCCCTCGACTATATGAACGTCGCGATGGCGCCACTGATGCTTCCCATCATGCGCATACACGTACAGGTCCTCTCGTATCGTTGCGCATCGCGTTACGATTCTGTCGACCATGGCTGAACCGATACCTGCGGAGGAGCAATCCAACTTCGAAACCTTCCGCGACTGCTTGAGCGAACCCGTCCTCAAAGCTCTGGCTGCACCGATCGAGAAGCCGAAACCGAAGAAGAAGAGACATGCGAAGAAGGGGTCGAAGAGTGGGAAGAATGAGATCGTCAAACAGGAGGTTGTACCAACGATGGTAGAAGCCCAAGAAACTGATGCAGAAGATCTGGGCGAATTCATAGAAGTATATCATCCCTACAAACATACACACACGCGTACTCTAGAGCCCCACTAACAGAAGAACCAGTACCTAAGCACCCTAATCTTCCCCTTCCTCCCAGCCGAACTGCGCACGCTCACGCACTCCATCTTCAAAGACTCACCGACCCTCCAAGACCTCTACACAACGCCCCTCTCATCCTCAACGTCCACCGCCCTCCTGCACACCATCCCACCCACCGCAATCGACAGCCTAGAAAGCTACGGCCTCCTCCCACCCACCTCCGACACCATCGACCAGCACAACCTCCTCACACCGCTCCTAACAACGTACATCTCCGCCGTCACCGCCCCGCCCCCAATATGGAGCAGCACGCGCGCCACCGCCTGCGAGCTCTGCAGCAGAGACTGGGTACCGTTGACATACCACCATCTCATCCCTAAAGCAGCACATGCGCGCGTAAGGAAGCGGGGGTGGCATACAGAGGACAAGCTGAATAGCGTGGCGTGGTTGTGTAGGGCTTGTCATAGCTTTGTGCATCGGTTGGCCGGGAACGAGGAGTTGGCTAAGAATTTCTATACGGTCGAGTTGATACAGGAGGGTGGGGTGGAGGAGGATGTCGAGAAAAGGGAGAGTGTTGAGGGGTGGGTTAAGTGGGTTGGGGGTGTTAGGTGGAGGAGTCGGTAGGAGGTGGCATCAGGGGAGAACGTTGGATACGGTGCCCTGATGTTGGTACTCGAACGCTTTGGATTACCTGTTGCATTGTCCCTGGATGGATGCGCGACACCTTTTGGGTTGCGTGTACCATGGGACGGAAGACCTCGCTTCTTTTCATTCTGCCACCACTTTTGTGCTCTATCTCATATTCACGTCTTTGTTTCGCACCTTTGGTCCTCATTTGTCTGCGTATACGCTTCTCCCACACACTAAGCAGTCATGCTACCACCCTTCGCCTACTCCGTCTTCCGACTGACGGTCTACCCCATCTTCATCGTCCTCATCACGACTGTAACGGCCATCGTCACCATAGACCCCTTCAAGAACACCACACTTCAGTACTTCGCTATTGGAAATATCGGTGTAGCGTTATGGGGTGTACTCGCGGGTGCCCTGTAGACTGGGAGAAGGAGCGACGAAATCGAAAGAGAATTCACAAGAGCAAAGAAGCAAGCGGAGACATGATTGTGGTGTGGTAAAAAAAGTATCGATTCATCCATCAGAGGTCAAGTCAACCAGACGACCTCTGGAAAGCACATATGCACGCTAAAATGAGGATATACAACGGGTATCCAGCCCTCAAAACGCCGGTGTCGATATGCGACAATGCCTAATCCAAACATGTAATCGTTGATACAAATCTCTCAAGTCCAGCTCGGAGATGATGATTATAATGGCGCGTCGTCCAGAAAACCCTTCTCGACTTCATCCTCAAAGATCGAGTACGAACGCCCGCGCTCGCTCATCTTGTTCTCCTTCTTTCTCGCATCGAGACTTGCGCGAACATGTTTGAGGAAGGCCTCGGTGCTTGGGTCGCTTGGTGTACGGTGGAGTTCGCAAGGCATGTTCGATGCATTCGCGACGGGTGCTGGTGCGATGATGTTGGAAGATGTGGTCGCTGAAGTCTTTGCCTTTCGGTCCACGGTGCATAGTCTCTTCGCAGACTCCCTAAACTTCTTGAAGGGGTCTTCGACTTTGGTCTCAAGCTTCTCAAGCTTCTCAAGCTTGTGTAGCATCTGGAATTCCTCGCGGACCCGTCGTGCTGCCCACTCGCCGGCAGGGAAGGATCTTCGTCGTTGAGTGGTGGCGAGGTAGTCGTGGTATGTGTCGCTGCTTAAGCGAAGCTCGAACTCACTTGCTGGGTTGCTATGTGTGGGAGCAGGAACAGGCGCAGGAGCAAGTATGGGTTCCGGTGCGGTGGGAACAGGTGTGGAGCTGAAGTCGACGAGTTGACCTGGATGCACTTCACCCGTGCTGTCACACCGTGTGGATGGCGCCAATACTGTCAACGTCTTCTCGGTACTGTTCTTCTCGGAGGCGAACAGTGCTTCAGCATCTGTTGCTCTTGAATCGACTCTCTGTCTCTTGCAGCTTTCCTCTATTCCCGACCTTGGGGAGCCCGAAGCCGATGATATGGATGTGCGTGGGCTGACGTCAGGGGAGCGATCTTGACTCTTACGCCGTGACCCAAAGCCAAAGCTGAAGTTCATGTTGAAGATCTGACTTGCCCGACGACGACGCTTCTTCTTGAGGTTCGGGAATGACCATGGAGCAGCGCTCTCTGGTTTCGGTGCCATAGGGCCGGAGTGAGGCAGCAATGATGGGAGTGGTCTGCTTGTGACTGCCATCTTGAAATGGTTTGGAGTTGAAGGTGTGAGTGGCGTAAGGGGTTGGAACGGGTTGGTGAAGTGCAAGTTGTTGTTGTGGTTGTTGTTTGGTCCTTGCTTGGTGACTCTCGGTAATGGGAGTGTACGATGTATGTTCTGTTGTGGAGGATAATAGAGTTGCAAGTTTCGTGCTACCTGGCTCGCGGCGGTTGTCTCACTGGATAAGTAGGCGTCTCGTGTGAATGCATAGAACAAGTCATCTTGCAGGGTGTGTTCACGAGGCGCTGGTCGTGGGAGACGTGGGTCCGCGAAAGGCGATGCCGGCGAAGTGTTGGTCGAGGTTTGCTGCACGGGGAAATTCGGAAAAGGGCTGGTTTGTACTGGCCATGGGGGCGTGGTGCAGTCATATGGTGTTGGCGCGAACATTTGACCTGTGATCGCGTGGGTGTGGCCTCGTGCCGAGCACGCGGATGTGACTCCGAAGTTTTCCCGATAGCGGATTGGAGTTGCGGTGTGGAGCTGGTAGTCGCCAGCCATGTGTTGGTGATTTGATGGTGTCTCGGCAAGCGAGGTCCGGTGAGGAAATGTGCTGGACTATCTGCTATGTTTAAAGATCGTCGCCTGGGAGGTAGCCGCGGTAGCCAGAGATAACGATTTTGTGTGCTCTTGACCGCTGAAGTCGACTCCACGTTATATACCGCCTGTTCTGCATCATGGCATCTGCACGAGCTCGCCGACGAAAAGACTCACCGCGCCGGTACACTTGCCCGTGCACCGCCCCTCAACCTGTGCATTTGCGTGCCTCGACACTGACAGACCCGGATATTCCAAAAAGATAGAAAAACAACCTCCCCACGGGTCCTGTCATCATACATCACTCTTACACCTCATGCCACCGTACCTGCGGGCCCACACGCCCTCTGCCAGCGGTACAACCAACAGCACACCGCACATCGTGACCAGGTCCCACGCAATTCTGCGACACTAGCTTGATGACGGCGCGCTGTTGGTGAAGTTGATCGCTGGTTGGTTGCGGGGGCGCGACGTGCCGTTTGGCACCCGTGGGCAAGATGTGCGTCGGATTGTGGGTGAACCGTGGGCGGCAGACCGAGATCGCCGACTAGTCAAGTTTGGCATTGAGATCCAGGGTCCATGACAGATCTCAACGCATCTAGATCTGAACGCTTTAGTGCGCAGCGTGAACCATCGCGGAGAACAGCATCAAAAGCAACTTGCGAACTCAGAGTTGTTATAGAAACAGCGGAGATGCAGGAGACGCGTGCTGATCCTTTCATCTCAGGTACCAAGATCTGAGCTCGCTTCTCGCCGAGCCGTACCGGGTGGCCTCCCAGCCAGAACATAGCTGTGAGCTAGTATTCAGGAGGCTGTGTATGGAGCTGAGCGGACGAGCGCATCAGGGTGACTCCGTGAACGCATAGTGCCTTCTTCAAAATTTCATGTGCCGAGGTCAACTTGTCGTACCTTGGGCTAACCACGAAAAAGCATCGTGGATGTTGACGACCTTCTAGATCAGCAGTGCAGGTCTGGTGACGCACTCTATCCATAAAATTTGATATACATGTACTTGACGCGGTTGAAGATGAACTACTACTCTGTCTCAATGTGTTGACTGCGTAACTGCCTCGGTAGATGAGCGCGGTACAGCTAGGCTCAAGCCAACCAAGAAGCAACGAGCACGGCAGTTATTCTGTCAACACCGTGTTGATCTATGACATGCGTACCTTCATCACAACCAAAATTCACTTCCTTGGTGAGTCTTCGTCTTCGCCCTTCTCTCTAACTCCATAGCCCCAATAATCGCGCAACCAACTCCACTCCCGTCTTCTGCGCTGGTAATCGTAATCGGGCCATCTCCTCCACAGTCCTTTTCCTTCCATCCCAGCACTTCACCCAGTGCCTTAGCCCATCTCCTCTTGAATTTTGGATGCTTGTTTGCCACACTCCCGTCGGCAGCTACATGACCCTTCTCGATACTTTCCATGGTGCAGATGGCAGCTACACCACAGGCACACAGTCGCGCACCACGCACAGCGATCATCTCAGCTAGTCTACGCGAGAGCTCGATCTCGACGTCTGTGGGCTGGATCGAGAGTGTAGAGTGGAAGAGTTCGCGTGTTTTGGTGAACTTGGGCGACTCGTCGTCTTCTATCTGAGATAGGAAGCCTGTATCGATACTGTATGGCTCACGCAGCTTTTGTAGTCCCTGGTCTGAGGCTTGACTGAAAACGAGACTGCGATCGAGGAGATCTACCAGTATGAGACGAAAGATCTCGCCTAGGTACAGGCCAGCGGAGAGCTTCTCGAAAGTCTGCTCTCCAGGTCGCGGGCTCTCTGCGTCGATCTGCTCGTCGTACTTTGTGAGGGGAAGCACACGCTTGGCTTGATCGAAGGCGCCATATTCGCAATTGATCGCCATTTTCTCTTCACCCTTCGTTGCGCCGTTGTGGGATGACGCGTCTGTGATTCTGTCGTCGTTGGAGTCCAGTTTTCCAATTCTTGAGAGGCTGGCCATGAAAGCTGCATTGCAACCAGTACCAAAAATAGCGCCAACGATCGTTTCGGGGTCGTTGTAGGCGGAGGCCACCATGGCACCGACGGTATCGTTGATAACGCAAATCAACTCGACCGGCAGCTTCCTTTCTTGTAGCTTCTCTCGAAGTTGCTTCGCGGCGTCCTGGCCTTCTACGCCCTTGATATCGAAACCCTTGGTCCATGTCTGCAGGACTGCGTGGTCGATACGTTTCTGCGTCGCTGGGTAACTGAATGTGAAACCCAATGGCATGGGCTTCTCCGCGGTGTATTGTTGATCTAGTTGGTGGTCCTGGATGAATGCCGCCACTTTTTCCGTAACGAAGTTCCAGAGACTATCGGCGTCGCCAGTCTTCATCTCCTCCGGTAGCTTGTACTGCTCTTGCTCCATGCTGTGCTTCCCATCTCCTTCTTTCCCGCCTTCGTCTCCATGAAGATCTACCTTGCAAACCCTCAGATTCGTACCACCAAGGTCAATAGTCAATATCGTTCCCTTCTCTTTTCCCGAAGGCAAATTGTGCACCCAGGTGATGTTCATGGGGATGCCCTCTTGCTTGTCTTTGGTAAGGCCTTCTTCTAACTCTTCTCTGAAGCGGCTAACGATCTCCTTCAGTTTAGAACCGGAGATCCAAAACTGTTTGTCGAGTCGTGCAAGTTCATCGTCCAGACTTTGTGGTAGATCGGCCATCTTCTCGAGTTCAGAGCGTTGGCGCCATGATGTATTCGCCTCCTCGTCTATGCGGCGGCCTGCAGAAGTAGACATAATGGAGATTCAGTATTTCAGAATATGGAAAAGGTGATGAGGATAGTCTCAAAGATATTTAAAAGTGCTGTCTAGAAGCGAACCGCATGTACAGATTGTTTTGAATTATTTTCATGTTCATATTTACTGCGCTCGACATGATGACATCACACGGCGCTTGCCACGGTCCTGACTCCCAATTCAGGCATTTATCGCAATTGTAGCGGATCTTATCGTTCCAGGAGGCCTTCTTTGGTGTAAATGACGTGCGTCTGGCATAGCAGAGTGGGAGCCGCGTGGGTGCCGCGTGGGTACTGCTAAAGCCTCGGGCCGAGAACCGCCGTGCGTCTTTGTTGTTGAGTGGGCCGTGGGTTAGGGGCTTGAGAAAGGCCAGAAAAGCAAGCGAGAGGTATGCGAAAATAGATAAAATTCTAATGGTATGACTGATGTGTTCGCGCTTTCTTTATGCAGCGCCCGTGGTATCGACCGAATCCTTTACTCCGTCTAATGCGTAATGTACCGTCTTGTGATTATTGTAATCAAACAAAGGAAATAGAGGTCGCTGTGAGTTCAGCAAACGAATGTTTCGACAATAGTCGTATGGCGAGCGGCTTTGAGCAACGAGGCAACAAGATTTCCAAAGTGGCCTCGCAGCGGTTGTGGTCTACGCAGCACACTTCTGCCCGAACATGCCATGCTCGACTCTAGCGTGGTTTGTTCGGACGGTTACGGGTGCGTCGTGTGTCGCTAGATGCTCCTTCCCCTCCTTTGCCGCGGCTCTTGTGTTGAGCAGACTAAGGTAAGTCTGCCACCCAATGGCAATGACACCACCAAATATGCTTCTGTATTCTATCGGGATGTACGTGAAGCTGAATGCCGTGACCATGGGCCAGACTTTGCAACTGTTGATCCAACTTGTTGGCACTGTGTTCTTGATGCGTTCGACGATTTCGGGTAACGTAGCGCCGGATAGAAGCGACTGCATGCCGAAGAAGTAGGAGTTGAACAGTGGTGTGAAAAACGCCTGGTTTATGAAGACCTATTGGGTAATGAGCGAGCGTTCGCAGAATATTGAGTAGAGGCACATACCTTGGTCGAGAGCGACAGTATCTTGGAGCTGTAGTTGAAGTTGTTTGACAGCCACATGAACCACTTGAACGATGGGATAGAGCTGACTCCTCCAATTATCAGCGCTCGCCCTGTTCGGGCCCAGTCACGGCCGTCGCTCCATTCTTGAACCCAGCCCTTGTCATCCGCATCTTCTGCCACTTTGTGGGTTTCCTCGGGCGCAATGGTCTGCGCAACGAGGTCGCCGATAAAGTATATAACGAGCGAAGATATGAGTTGTGTCCTGTATGGCCTCCTTTGTTGTGCGCGACCGTATGCGCGGAAGGGTCCGACAATGGGCTGGAGCCAAAGCCAGCTTGGCCCAGGAATCGTCTGCGCATTGTCCGCGACTCTGCCTGCTGTGTTTGGCCCCGAGACATGTGGCCTGCGGACGACATTCGAGGGGTGGACGTTGATGCGTGCGCGTTCGAAGGTGCCGGGATTGCTGTTCCGAGGGGAAGGGGCGTTCGGAATGCGCCTCAAGCCGACACGGGTAAAGGCGCAGGAAGGAGCGATCATGATGGCGGTTTGTGAGCTCTCATGAGGTTGGAGAAGAACTTAAGGGGGCAGG